TGCTTAGCACCATAAAAATAAAAGCATTCGTTAAGTTTGGAGTAAGTAGCAGTTAACTCAAATATCATATACGCGGGCCTCCACGTTTAAGAGTAACTACATTGTTTAACTTACCATGTACGCGAACCGCGCGTTTGAAAGAACGTTTATTACGACGTCCTCTAAGTTTACCAACAAACATAATTAATCCTCCTTGTTAGTTTTAGTCGGGGATTCAAGAATAGATTCAATAGCTGTAATAATTTGTTCACCATAAGTGCCAGCAGCATCTTTAGCAGACATACCACTAACTAAACAAATATATTTTAAAGATTCTTCAAGAACCCAACTTAACTTATCACGACCTGAACCAGGTTCAGAAAACTTAGTTTCAGCAACACGAACAAGATCAGGAAGAATTAATAACAACTGTGTAAAAACAGTATCAACATTTTGAATCTTAATTTTACATTTAAAGATACAAATTAAAATATTAGTAAAAGATAAAAAGCAAGTTAATATTAATTGCCAATGGGAACGACACCAGTCAAAAATTAAATTATAATCCACGTTTAATAGCCCTCACTTTATTATCAACAATAACTTTATTATTAGGATACAGTTCTTCCATATTCTTAACACCAGCATTAAACAATTCTAAATAATGCATATCAGAAGCTTTAAGCGCACGAGCCTTTTTAACAACATCAAATAAAGGCTTATCAATAACTTTTAACAATTTATCAAAGTAACGCGGAACACTGGCAGTAAAACCATTATTTAATTGAATATGATCATATTTATAAATATTCTGATAATTATCTAATAAATATTGTGACCCTATTCCTGGATGTGTAGACATAAAGATAAAACCTTTTTTTTCTTCATCGATTTTCTTATTCACATAACCAGCAACATAAGCGCATGAATCAGGAGTAACATCACCAATAGTAATAAATCCTTTATTCCAGATCTTATTAAGAGTCTTTGACTGTAATAAATTAGCCTTAAACTTATAAGGCTCTAAATCAACAAGATTAAGACCAAATAAGATAATGTGCCAATGTTTTCTTTTTGAGTGACTACCATATTCACCACAACCAAAATATTTAAAAGTAAAACCATTATTTCTTAAATCAGTAAAAAACTTATCAATATCTGAACGAGTTAAATAATTCTCACCTAAATGGTAATCATCATAAGTCAATGTTAAAAAATAATTATTCTCATGATATAAAGATTCACACATACAACGAGTAGACCAGTCAGATTTATAAGCTATTCTACAAGCAGGACAAGAACCGCATGGAAGAGTAAATACATTATCACGACCATATTTAACACAAAGATTATTAAAATTATAATCAACAGAAGAATTACCAAGTATTTTAATCTTACATGGATCACCATCAAATATTTTTACTGCATATAAAGGTCTTGTACATTTCATATATTAATTTTAACTTTTTTTTTTTTTTTGTCTATGATACATTAAAAAAGGCTTGAAAAAAGTCAAGTTAACCTAAATAATAAAGGTGCGTACTTCCAATTAATAACCTCTTTTAGAGGGTTTTATACTCACATAGGGAGTACGCAAATCCTAAGTATAGAACACTCTGAAAGGGGTTTTTATATATGGATATGGAGAAGGGAAACCTTAAGACAAGAGCAGTTGCTATACTTACCGTTCGTGAAGCAGAAGAGGGGGCGCTTGTCTATGTATGAAGTCGGCTTATACTGACGGAACACTTTCTCTCACTTCCATTGTTGGGGGTAGGGGGCGAAGTGTATTCTCTGAGGGCTTGCCTGATGGAACGGTTAAAAGGAAAAGAGAATCTTTTTCTATAAAGTTTTCTTTCCTTCTTATTAAAGAGAGGTAACGCGTAAGGGGAAACTTCCCCTTTAGCATATTGAAAGGAACTACAACCTATGAGAGACAAATTAACAAAGAGATTAACAACATTAAAACATGAAGCCAGCAAATCAACTAACTGGAAGTATCGCGAATGGTTAAGCGGTCGCATTTTTGAATTGAAACATATAATTTACGAACTAACAAAACATGATGAAAACAAAGATTTATAAAAAAAAGAATTGAACGGGCATATATTAATCAAGTAGGAAATATGCCCGTTCTTTTTGTTGCATCGATTCACCCGCGTTCCATCTAAAGATGCAACACTAACTTTAAAGCTATAAGTAAGGGGACAGAACAACCCGGGTCGTGGTTGTTCTTCCCCTAACACCCCTAACTCCTCCGCCTTTTAAAGCGCTGACTGACTCGTTTTAGATATACGCACGCACACGTTAAATCGCGCGCACGCGTATAAATAAACAAGTCACTTTAACCGCGCTTTAAAACCTTCCAGGAGGCTCCTATCATCGGAGGGATGTATTGAAGAAAAAGACAAAAAAAAGAAGTTTGATATAATTTTCTTCTGATATTAAATGCGATAGAGGATACTCCGATATATGTTGCTGCTTCGAACAAAATAAAAAGCGGAGCATATCAACTTAACTGCAGTAGAGTTATGCGCCACTTTCGAAAAGTGTCCAAATATTATCGAAGGGGGGAGACCCCCTAAAGATAGACCCCCTATTTATTCAGACAATTATTATCTTCGAGATCATGAAGAATCAACCAGCAAAGATATTCACTTTTAGAATAGTCCAAGTCATTACAACGATCTTCAACTTTTTTTAATAAATATCTGGATATAGTAATCTTAATTTCTTTATTAATTTTTTTAATAGCCATTTTTACCACCTCTAATTAATTTTCTAATAGCTTTACAAAATCTTTGATCATTAAAATCACAACCTTTATAAATATTCATGATACGTGATAAAGAATATTCAAAATCATAAGCCTCTAATTCATCAATAACTTTTTCTGTTAACAATTCAACATGATGCATAACTTTTACCTCTTTTCTATACTTAAATTATATCAAAAAGTGTCCGACTTTGCAACAAAATTGTTAAAAAAAGTTGAACAAAAAAAGGCACATTGTAAGTTAATACAATATGCCAAGATAAGGGAGAAATACCGAAAATACAAACGATATTTAACAGTTAATTTTAACCAGCGAAAGCACCAGCAACACGCGCGACCATCATTAAAGTTAGGATAATATTTTTAAGTGCATCTTTACCTTCTTCATTTTTACCAACTTGATAAGAATAATTACCAGGAGAACCAAAACCATTTTGAAGAAGCAAATAAGGATTAATTCCTGCAGCTTCTAAATCTTTAAACATTCTTTGGTATTGACTATCAGATAAATACTTTTCAAAGTTACGATCGTATTGATTTCTTTTGCCACCGTTGAAAAGGTCAGTTAACCAGTTCCATGATCCATTATCATATGGATTATTATAAGAATCATAATTACCTAAATCATCACGGAAAGCATCATCAACATTCGTAGGTGAAATATTAGAAGAAGTAGAAGGAGAATCAGTTAATAATAATTGATTCATATTATAAACCTAAAGAACCTCTTGTTCCTGGAAGAACAGCAGTTCCAACAGTTGAAGTTTCTGTAATATCAATACGGAACTCAGCAAAATAATCATATGGTGAAGAAGTGCCAGTTGTTAAAGTACGAGCAACAAAATCACGATTCTCACTAATCCAAGATTCATTTAAAACAGGTAAACCAGGAAACTCAGTAGCATAAGACCATAATTTACCAATAGTATTAGGAGCTTTTACATCCATGTATCCAGATGCTTTACTTAAACTATAACGATATTCAGCCCAAGACTCTTGGAAAGCAAATGTTTTATCGTCGTTACCATCACCATTTAAATATAACTCTTTATTTTTAATTTCTTGATCACTTAAGAATGTGAAATATGGATTAAAGAACTCTAATGGAGAAACTTTAGAATCATCACGGTCAATACCTTGTGAATAAACTTGATCACGTACACGAGCAAAACCAAGAATCATAATATAACCGTGTTCAGATACAGCCTTATGGAATAAATGAGATTTATTTCCAGTAATAGAAACAGCAGCAGAAGAGCCAGCAGGTTTAACACCACCATTTTGAGTAGTATCAGCCATAGCAGTAACTTGATTAACATTAATGTTAAACTTACATGAACCTAAATGTTCAGGTCTATTAGTATTTAAATCACCATTTGAAGTACCATAAATGCCACGAAGAACACCATTATAATAATCACCACAATAATTGTCTAATTTTTCTAAATAATGTTCAGTAGAAACAGCGGCTTTTAATGTGTCGATAGTAGCAGCAGAAGCCTGAGATAAATCAGCATAAGCATAACCATCACCTTCAGTACCAGTACCAACACGAGCAATACCACCAGCAGCAGCAGCAGATTCAAAAGTTTTTAAAGCAGTTCCTGAAGGTAAAGCACCACCAGATGCAACTCTATTATTATAAAGAACAACTGGAGCAAACTCACCTAATGGAAGAGAAACTTTCAAAGAAGATGGTTCAATAGTACCAGCAGTGAAATAATCAAATGCTTTGCAAACCTTCATTAATGGATAACCAGCATTCTGAATACCAACATAATTAGTGCCATTATAAACTTTACCAACAGCATCAAAAGGATCAGAAATATAACCATTTTTACCAATATTGACTAATACAGGTTGTTGATAGTTTTGGCAACGATAGAAATTATTCCAAATATGATAATAAGCACGTTCTTTAAGAATAGAAACACGACCATAATCAGTTTTTGAAGCGTTAGCAGTAACTAAAGGTTTACCTAAATAATGTTGTAATTTTTGAACTTCAACACCATTTTTAAATAGAGAAATATTAGGGATTAAATATTCAGTAAGAGCAGGCTTAGAAAAAGGAATAAAATCATCTGTTATCTTATTAGACTTTTTAGCACCAAAGAATAATTCACTATATTTCCATAACTGAGAAGCTGGAACCCAGAAGGCATCAGCCTGGAACTCAATATTACCGTATGCAGGGAAAATAGGGGTATTTTGTCTAATTAAAGAAGATAAATTAACATTCAACTCAGTACCAGGAACAAGTAAATTACTACACCAAATAGGAAATAATTCACCGTGTTTAAAAGTAGTAGCATGAATAGGATGTTTAGTATATTTAAAACGATTTAAATGAATAGTAGGGGAAATAGATTGACTTAAATTACTCATTGTTGTTCACCTCCATTTGCTTGATTAGCAGCTAAAACTTTTTTAACCGCTTCCATAATTTCTTCTTGAGTAGCTCCAGCGGCTTGTTCGACAGTACCTAAATCAATTCCACTATTATAATATTTTTGTTTAGAATCAATAATCCACTGTCTAAGTTTTACTGGGTCATCAGGAATCTTAGTTAAATCAATAATGCCATCATCATAAAGAACCTCTTGAAGTTCTTGAACTAGTAATTGTTTTTCAATAGCCTTTAAACCAACTTGATCATTAAAGCTATTAATATATGCGGCACGATTTTTACGAGAAACTTCATATTCGGTAGGAACAAGAATATATTCATCTTCACCATCACCGACTTTTTCAATTTTGTTTTTAAAACCAAAATCTACAATGTCATCTTCTTTTGTAACTGGAGAAAGTTTATCTGAATATTCAACAGTACCAACATCAGTAATATACTTAATCATTATCAATAGCCACCACATCAGATGGTAAATACTGATTAAAACTAAATATAACCTTATGACATGGAGTAATCTCACCAGTCACATCATCAAACGTACCAATATGCACAAATGACATATCTTTATAAGAAGCAAGTTTTTCTTTTGGAGTAACTTTAAGACTTCTTATGATTTCCGTAGCAATATCTTCTACGGATGAATGCTTAGCACCATAAAAATAAAAGCATTCGTTAAGTTTGGAGTAAGTAGCAGTTAACTCAAATATCATATACGCGGGCCTCCACGTTTAAGAGTAACTACATTGTTTAACTTACCATGTACGCGAACCGCGCGTTTGAAAGAACGTTTATTACGACGTCCTCTAAGTTTACCAACAAACATAATTAATCCTCCTTGTTAGTTTTAGTCGGGGATTCAAGAATAGATTCAATAGCTGTAATAATTTGTTCACCATAAGTGCCAGCAGCATCTTTAGCAGACATACCACTAACTAAACAAATATATTTTAAAGATTCTTCAAGAACCCAACTTAACTTATCACGACCTGAACCAGGTTCAGAAAACTTAGTTTCAGCAACACGAACAAGATCAGGAAGAATTAATAACAACTGTGTAAAAACAGTATCAACATTTTGAATCTTAATTTTACATTTAAAGATACAAATTAAAATATTAGTAAAAGATAAAAAGCAAGTTAATATTAATTGCCAATGGGAACGACACCAGTCAAAAATTAAATTATAATCCACGTTTAATAGCCCTCACTTTATTATCAACAATAACTTTATTATTAGGATACAGTTCTTCCATATTCTTAACACCAGCATTAAACAATTCTAAATAATGCATATCAGAAGCTTTAAGCGCACGAGCCTTTTTAACAACATCAAATAAAGGCTTATCAATAACTTTTAACAATTTATCAAAGTAACGCGGAACACTGGCAGTAAAACCATTATTTAATTGAATATGATCATATTTATAAATATTCTGATAATTATCTAATAAATATTGTGACCCTATTCCTGGATGTGTAGACATAAAGATAAAACCTTTTTTTTCTTCATCGATTTTCTTATTCACATAACCAGCAACATAAGCGCATGAATCAGGAGTAACATCACCAATAGTAATAAATCCTTTATTCCAGATCTTATTAAGAGTCTTTGACTGTAATAAATTAGCCTTAAACTTATAAGGCTCTAAATCAACAAGATTAAGACCAAATAAGATAATGTGCCAATGTTTTCTTTTTGAGTGACTACCATATTCACCACAACCAAAATATTTAAAAGTAAAACCATTATTTCTTAAATCAGTAAAAAACTTATCAATATCTGAACGAGTTAAATAATTCTCACCTAAATGGTAATCATCATAAGTCAATGTTAAAAAATAATTATTCTCATGATATAAAGATTCACACATACAACGAGTAGACCAGTCAGATTTATAAGCTATTCTACAAGCAGGACAAGAACCGCATGGAAGAGTAAATACATTATCACGACCATATTTAACACAAAGATTATTAAAATTATAATCAACAGAAGAATTACCAAGTATTTTAATCTTACATGGATCACCATCAAATATTTTTACTGCATATAAAGGTCTTGTACATTTCATATATTAATTTTAACTTTTTTTTTTTTTTTGTCTATGATACATTAAAAAAGGCTTGAAAAAAGTCAAGTTAACCTAAATAATAAAGGTGCGTACTTCCAATTAATAACCTCTTTTAGAGGGTTTTATACTCACATAGGGAGTACGCAAATCCTAAGTATAGAACACTCTGAAAGGGGTTTTTATATATGGATATGGAGAAGGGAAACCTTAAGACAAGAGCAGTTGCTATACTTACCGTTCGTGAAGCAGAAGAGGGGGCGCTTGTCTATGTATGAAGTCGGCTTATACTGACGGAACACTTTCTCTCACTTCCATTGTTGGGGGTAGGGGGCGAAGTGTATTCTCTGAGGGCTTGCCTGATGGAACGGTTAAAAGGAAAAGAGAATCTTTTTCTATAAAGTTTTCTTTCCTTCTTATTAAAGAGAGGTAACGCGTAAGGGGAAACTTCCCCTTTAGCATATTGAAAGGAACTACAACCTATGAGAGACAAATTAACAAAGAGATTAACAACATTAAAACATGAAGCCAGCAAATCAACTAACTGGAAGTATCGCGAATGGTTAAGCGGTCGCATTTTTGAATTGAAACATATAATTTACGAACTAACAAAACATGATGAAAACAAAGATTTATAAAAAAAAGAATTGAACGGGCATATATTAATCAAGTAGGAAATATGCCCGTTCTTTTTGTTGCATCGATTCACCCGCGTTCCATCTAAAGATGCAACACTAACTTTAAAGCTATAAGTAAGGGGACAGAACAACCCGGGTCGTGGTTGTTCTTCCCCTAACACCCCTAACTCCTCCGCCTTTTAAAGCGCTGACTGACTCGTTTTAGATATACGCACGCACACGTTAAATCGCGCGCACGCGTATAAATAAACAAGTCACTTTAACCGCGCTTTAAAACCTTCCAGGAGGCTCCTATCATCGGAGGGATGTATTGAAGAAAAAGACAAAAAAAAGAAGTTTGATATAATTTTCTTCTGATATTAAATGCGATAGAGGATACTCCGATATATGTTGCTGCTTCGAACAAAATAAAAAGCGGAGCATATCAACTTAACTGCAGTAGAGTTATGCGCCACTTTCGAAAAGTGTCCAAATATTATCGAAGGGGGGAGACCCCCTAAAGATAGACCCCCTATTTATTCAGACAATTATTATCTTCGAGATCATGAAGAATCAACCAGCAAAGATATTCACTTTTAGAATAGTCCAAGTCATTACAACGATCTTCAACTTTTTTTAATAAATATCTGGATATAGTAATCTTAATTTCTTTATTAATTTTTTTAATAGCCATTTTTACCACCTCTAATTAATTTTCTAATAGCTTTACAAAATCTTTGATCATTAAAATCACAACCTTTATAAATATTCATGATACGTGATAAAGAATATTCAAAATCATAAGCCTCTAATTCATCAATAACTTTTTCTGTTAACAATTCAACATGATGCATAACTTTTACCTCTTTTCTATACTTAAATTATATCAAAAAGTGTCCGACTTTGCAACAAAATTGTTAAAAAAAGTTGAACAAAAAAAGGCACATTGTAAGTTAATACAATATGCCAAGATAAGGGAGAAATACCGAAAATACAAACGATATTTAACAGTTAATTTTAACCAGCGAAAGCACCAGCAACACGCGCGACCATCATTAAAGTTAGGATAATATTTTTAAGTGCATCTTTACCTTCTTCATTTTTACCAACTTGATAAGAATAATTACCAGGAGAACCAAAACCATTTTGAAGAAGCAAATAAGGATTAATTCCTGCAGCTTCTAAATCTTTAAACATTCTTTGGTATTGACTATCAGATAAATACTTTTCAAAGTTACGATCGTATTGATTTCTTTTGCCACCGTTGAAAAGGTCAGTTAACCAGTTCCATGATCCATTATCATATGGATTATTATAAGAATCATAATTACCTAAATCATCACGGAAAGCATCATCAACATTCGTAGGTGAAATATTAGAAGAAGTAGAAGGAGAATCAGTTAATAATAATTGATTCATATTATAAACCTAAAGAACCTCTTGTTCCTGGAAGAACAGCAGTTCCAACAGTTGAAGTTTCTGTAATATCAATACGGAACTCAGCAAAATAATCATATGGTGAAGAAGTGCCAGTTGTTAAAGTACGAGCAACAAAATCACGATTCTCACTAATCCAAGATTCATTTAAAACAGGTAAACCAGGAAACTCAGTAGCATAAGACCATAATTTACCAATAGTATTAGGAGCTTTTACATCCATGTATCCAGATGCTTTACTTAAACTATAACGATATTCAGCCCAAGACTCTTGGAAAGCAAATGTTTTATCGTCGTTACCATCACCATTTAAATATAACTCTTTATTTTTAATTTCTTGATCACTTAAGAATGTGAAATATGGATTAAAGAACTCTAATGGAGAAACTTTAGAATCATCACGGTCAATACCTTGTGAATAAACTTGATCACGTACACGAGCAAAACCAAGAATCATAATATAACCGTGTTCAGATACAGCCTTATGGAATAAATGAGATTTATTTCCAGTAATAGAAACAGCAGCAGAAGAGCCAGCAGGTTTAACACCACCATTTTGAGTAGTATCAGCCATAGCAGTAACTTGATTAACATTAATGTTAAACTTACATGAACCTAAATGTTCAGGTCTATTAGTATTTAAATCACCATTTGAAGTACCATAAATGCCACGAAGAACACCATTATAATAATCACCACAATAATTGTCTAATTTTTCTAAATAATGTTCAGTAGAAACAGCGGCTTTTAATGTGTCGATAGTAGCAGCAGAAGCCTGAGATAAATCAGCATAAGCATAACCATCACCTTCAGTACCAGTACCAACACGAGCAATACCACCAGCAGCAGCAGCAGATTCAAAAGTTTTTAAAGCAGTTCCTGAAGGTAAAGCACCACCAGATGCAACTCTATTATTATAAAGAACAACTGGAGCAAACTCACCTAATGGAAGAGAAACTTTCAAAGAAGATGGTTCAATAGTACCAGCAGTGAAATAATCAAATGCTTTGCAAACCTTCATTAATGGATAACCAGCATTCTGAATACCAACATAATTAGTGCCATTATAAACTTTACCAACAGCATCAAAAGGATCAGAAATATAACCATTTTTACCAATATTGACTAATACAGGTTGTTGATAGTTTTGGCAACGATAGAAATTATTCCAAATATGATAATAAGCACGTTCTTTAAGAATAGAAACACGACCATAATCAGTTTTTGAAGCGTTAGCAGTAACTAAAGGTTTACCTAAATAATGTTGTAATTTTTGAACTTCAACACCATTTTTAAATAGAGAAATATTAGGGATTAAATATTCAGTAAGAGCAGGCTTAGAAAAAGGAATAAAATCATCTGTTATCTTATTAGACTTTTTAGCACCAAAGAATAATTCACTATATTTCCATAACTGAGAAGCTGGAACCCAGAAGGCATCAGCCTGGAACTCAATATTACCGTATGCAGGGAAAATAGGGGTATTTTGTCTAATTAAAGAAGATAAATTAACATTCAACTCAGTACCAGGAACAAGTAAATTACTACACCAAATAGGAAATAATTCACCGTGTTTAAAAGTAGTAGCATGAATAGGATGTTTAGTATATTTAAAACGATTTAAATGAATAGTAGGGGAAATAGATTGACTTAAATTACTCATTGTTGTTCACCTCCATTTGCTTGATTAGCAGCTAAAACTTTTTTAACCGCTTCCATAATTTCTTCTTGAGTAGCTCCAGCGGCTTGTTCGACAGTACCTAAATCAATTCCACTATTATAATATTTTTGTTTAGAATCAATAATCCACTGTCTAAGTTTTACTGGGTCATCAGGAATCTTAGTTAAATCAATAATGCCATCATCATAAAGAACCTCTTGAAGTTCTTGAACTAGTAATTGTTTTTCAATAGCCTTTAAACCAACTTGATCATTAAAGCTATTAATATATGCGGCACGATTTTTACGAGAAACTTCATATTCGGTAGGAACAAGAATATATTCATCTTCACCATCACCGACTTTTTCAATTTTGTTTTTAAAACCAAAATCTACAATGTCATCTTCTTTTGTAACTGGAGAAAGTTTATCTGAATATTCAACAGTACCAACATCAGTAATATACTTAATCATTATCAATAGCCACCACATCAGATGGTAAATACTGATTAAAACTAAATATAACCTTATGACATGGAGTAATCTCACCAGTCACATCATCAAACGTACCAATATGCACAAATGACATATCTTTATAAGAAGCAAGTTTTTCTTTTGGAGTAACTTTAAGACTTCTTATGATTTCCGTAGCAATATCTTCTACGGATGAATGCTTAGCACCATAAAAATAAAAGCATTCGTTAAGTTTGGAGTAAGTAGCAGTTAACTCAAATATCATATACGCGGGCCTCCACGTTTAAGAGTAACTACATTGTTTAACTTACCATGTACGCGAACCGCGCGTTTGAAAGAACGTTTATTACGACGTCCTCTAAGTTTACCAACAAACATAATTAATCCTCCTTGTTAGTTTTAGTCGGGGATTCAAGAATAGATTCAATAGCTGTAATAATTTGTTCACCATAAGTGCCAGCAGCATCTTTAGCAGACATACCACTAACTAAACAAATATATTTTAAAGATTCTTCAAGAACCCAACTTAACTTATCACGACCTGAACCAGGTTCAGAAAACTTAGTTTCAGCAACACGAACAAGATCAGGAAGAATTAATAACAACTGTGTAAAAACAGTATCAACATTTTGAATCTTAATTTTACATTTAAAGATACAAATTAAAATATTAGTAAAAGATAAAAAGCAAGTTAATATTAATTGCCAATGGGAACGACACCAGTCAAAAATTAAATTATAATCCACGTTTAATAGCCCTCACTTTATTATCAACAATAACTTTATTATTAGGATACAGTTCTTCCATATTCTTAACACCAGCATTAAACAATTCTAAATAATGCATATCAGAAGCTTTAAGCGCACGAGCCTTTTTAACAACATCAAATAAAGGCTTATCAATAACTTTTAACAATTTATCAAAGTAACGCGGAACACTGGCAGTAAAACCATTATTTAATTGAATATGATCATATTTATAAATATTCTGATAATTATCTAATAAATATTGTGACCCTATTCCTGGATGTGTAGACATAAAGATAAAACCTTTTTTTTCTTCATCGATTTTCTTATTCACATAACCAGCAACATAAGCGCATGAATCAGGAGTAACATCACCAATAGTAATAAATCCTTTATTCCAGATCTTATTAAGAGTCTTTGACTGTAATAAATTAGCCTTAAACTTATAAGGCTCTAAATCAACAAGATTAAGACCAAATAAGATAATGTGCCAATGTTTTCTTTTTGAGTGACTACCATATTCACCACAACCAAAATATTTAAAAGTAAAACCATTATTTCTTAAATCAGTAAAAAACTTATCAATATCTGAACGAGTTAAATAATTCTCACCTAAATGGTAATCATCATAAGTCAATGTTAAAAAATAATTATTCTCATGATATAAAGATTCACACATACAACGAGTAGACCAGTCAGATTTATAAGCTATTCTACAAGCAGGACAAGAACCGCATGGAAGAGTAAATACATTATCACGACCATATTTAACACAAAGATTATTAAAATTATAATCAACAGAAGAATTACCAAGTATTTTAATCTTACATGGATCACCATCAAATATTTTTACTGCATATAAAGGTCTTGTACATTTCATATATTAATTTTAACTTTTTTTTTTTTTTTGTCTATGATACATTAAAAAAGGCTTGAAAAAAGTCAAGTTAACCTAAATAATAAAGGTGCGTACTTCCAATTAATAACCTCTTTTAGAGGGTTTTATACTCACATAGGGAGTACGCAAATCCTAAGTATAGAACACTCTGAAAGGGGTTTTTATATATGGATATGGAGAAGGGAAACCTTAAGACAAGAGCAGTTGCTATACTTACCGTTCGTGAAGCAGAAGAGGGGGCGCTTGTCTATGTATGAAGTCGGCTTATACTGACGGAACACTTTCTCTCACTTCCATTGTTGGGGGTAGGGGGCGAAGTGTATTCTCTGAGGGCTTGCCTGATGGAACGGTTAAAAGGAAAAGAGAATCTTTTTCTATAAAGTTTTCTTTCCTTCTTATTAAAGAGAGGTAACGCGTAAGGGGAAACTTCCCCTTTAGCATATTGAAAGGAACTACAACCTATGAGAGACAAATTAACAAAGAGATTAACAACATTAAAACATGAAGCCAGCAAATCAACTAACTGGAAGTATCGCGAATGGTTAAGCGGTCGCATTTTTGAATTGAAACATATAATTTACGAACTAACAAAACATGATGAAAACAAAGATTTATAAAAAAAAGAATTGAACGGGCATATATTAATCAAGTAGGAAATATGCCCGTTCTTTTTGTTGCATCGATTCACCCGCGTTCCATCTAAAGATGCAACACTAACTTTAAAGCTATAAGTAAGGGGACAGAACAACCCGGGTCGTGGTTGTTCTTCCCCTAACACCCCTAACTCCTCCGCCTTTTAAAGCGCTGACTGACTCGTTTTAGATATACGCACGCACACGTTAAATCGCGCGCACGCGTATAAATAAACAAGTCACTTTAACCGCGCTTTAAAACCTTCCAGGAGGCTCCTATCATCGGAGGGATGTATTGAAGAAAAAGACAAAAAAAAGAAGTTTGATATAATTTTCTTCTGATATTAAATGCGATAGAGGATACTCCGATATATGTTGCTGCTTCGAACAAAATAAAAAGCGGAGCATATCAACTTAACTGCAGTAGAGTTATGCGCCACTTTCGAAAAGTGTCCAAATATTATCGAAGGGGGGAGACCCCCTAAAGATAGACCCCCTATTTATTCAGACAATTATTATCTTCGAGATCATGAAGAATCAACCAGCAAAGATATTCACTTTTAGAATAGTCCAAGTCATTACAACGATCTTCAACTTTTTTTAATAAATATCTGGATATAGTAATCTTAATTTCTTTATTAATTTTTTTAATAGCCATTTTTACCACCTCTAATTAATTTTCTAATAGCTTTACAAAATCTTTGATCATTAAAATCACAACCTTTATAAATATTCATGATACGTGATAAAGAATATTCAAAATCATAAGCCTCTAATTCATCAATAACTTTTTCTGTTAACAATTCAACATGATGCATAACTTTTACCTCTTTTCTATACTTAAATTATATCAAAAAGTGTCCGACTTTGCAACAAAATTGTTAAAAAAAGTTGAACAAAAAAAGGCACATTGTAAGTTAATACAATATGCCAAGATAAGGGAGAAATACCGAAAATACAAACGATATTTAACAGTTAATTTTAACCAGCGAAAGCACCAGCAACACGCGCGACCATCATTAAAGTTAGGATAATATTTTTAAGTGCATCTTTACCTTCTTCATTTTTACCAACTTGATAAGAATAATTACCAGGAGAACCAAAACCATTTTGAAGAAGCAAATAAGGATTAATTCCTGCAGCTTCTAAATCTTTAAACATTCTTTGGTATTGACTATCAGATAAATACTTTTCAAAGTTACGATCGTATTGATTTCTTTTGCCACCGTTGAAAAGGTCAGTTAACCAGTTCCATGATCCATTATCATATGGATTATTATAAGAATCATAATTACCTAAATCATCACGGAAAGCATCATCAACATTCGTAGGTGAAATATTAGAAGAAGTAGAAGGAGAATCAGTTAATAATAATTGATTCATATTATAAACCTAAAGAACCTCTTGTTCCTGGAAGAACAGCAGTTCCAACAGTTGAAGTTTCTGTAATATCAATACGGAACTCAGCAAAATAATCATATGGTGAAGAAGTGCCAGTTGTTAAAGTACGAGCAACAAAATCACGATTCTCACTAATCCAAGATTCATTTAAAACAGGTAAACCAGGAAACTCAGTAGCATAAGACCATAATTTACCAATAGTATTAGGAGCTTTTACATCCATGTATCCAGATGCTTTACTTAAACTATAACGATATTCAGCCCAAGACTCTTGGAAAGCAAATGTTTTATCGTCGTTACCATCACCATTTAAATATAACTCTTTATTTTTAATTTCTTGATCACTTAAGAATGTGAAATATGGATTAAAGAACTCTAATGGAGAAACTTTAGAATCATCACGGTCAATACCTTGTGAATAAACTTGATCACGTACACGAGCAAAACCAAGAATCATAATATAACCGTGTTCAGATACAGCCTTATGGAATAAATGAGATTTATTTCCAGTAATAGAAACAGCAGCAGAAGAGCCAGCAGGTTTAACACCACCATTTTGAGTAGTATCAGCCATAGCAGTAACTTGATTAACATTAATGTTAAACTTACATGAACCTAAATGTTCAGGTCTATTAGTATTTAAATCACCATTTGAAGTACCATAAATGCCACGAAGAACACCATTATAATAATCACCACAATAATTGTCTAATTTTTCTAAATAATGTTCAGTAGAAACAGCGGCTTTTAATGTGTCGATAGTAGCAGCAGAAGCCTGAGATAAATCAGCATAAGCATAACCATCACCTTCAGTACCAGTACCAACACGAGCAATACCACCAGCAGCAGCAGCAGATTCAAAAGTTTTTAAAGCAGTTCCTGAAGGTAAAGCACCACCAGATGCAACTCTATTATTATAAAGAACAACTGGAGCAAACTCACCTAATGGAAGAGAAACTTTCAAAGAAGATGGTTCAATAGTACCAGCAGTGAAATAATCAAATGCTTTGCAAACCTTCATTAATGGATAACCAGCATTCTGAATACCAACATAATTAGTGCCATTATAAACTTTACCAACAGCATCAAAAGGATCAGAAATATAACCATTTTTACCAATATTGACTAATACAGGTTGTTGATAGTTTTGGCAACGAT